GAGCCGGCCCCCCGCCTCACTAGCAGCCCCAAAGGGAGGCGGGCGTGCAGAGGGGAAGACTCAAATTCGCGGCTTCAGCTGTGAGTGGGTGCCCGTGTGTGTGTGTGTGTGTGTGTGTGTGTGTGTGTGTGTGTGAGAAAGACAGACGGACAACAGGCAGACAAGTTTCTTCTGCCCTGCGCCCACCCCTCCTTCAGGTGAAGAGAGGAAAATCAGAAGCTCTATCTCTGACCAGAGCCTCCTCCTTCAGGGTCCAGATGCTGGAGGCGGGCTGGCCACACCCCTTCCCTCCGTGGTCAGGGGCAGACGGCCACTGTCCCAGGGCGGGGACCCTACCTGTCGAAGCAGCTAGGCCTGGCGGCAGCGGGCCCAGGGCACCCTGCGGGGAGGGCGCGTCAGGCCGGCGGCGGCTGGGTGGCCCGCCCCCAAGGGATGTTTGTCACGACATCGTTTTCCATAGTTTCCACAAACTTAAGGAAAAGCACACGTTCTCTAACCATCCCAGGTTCTGGCAGCGGGGGCCACGGCCAGAGCTGGTGAGCAGTCCCCTGGCCAGGCTCCCGGGGCCGGCTCCCCAATCGACACGGCCCACCCTCCTTCAGATGCGGAGGCCACAGCACAGAGGGAAGCCACAGCTACTGTGTTGCAGGGAGGGTTAAAACCCACCAGCCTGCCTGAGCCCACGCTTCTGTGGCATCCGGTGATGAGGGGCACCTGGGAGCCACATCCGAGGGATTTTTTTAAAAAAATATATTTTATTGATTTTTTTTTTTAGAGAGAGGAAGGGAGAGGGATAGAGAGTTAGAAACATCGATGAGAGAGAAACATCGATCAGCTGCCTCCTGCACACTCCCCACTGGGGATGTGCCCGCAACCAAGGTACATGCCCTTGACCGGAATCGAACCCGGGACCCTTCAGTCCACAGGCCGACACTCTATCCACTGAGCCAAACTGGTTAGGGCCTGAGGGATTCTTTTCTTTCCCAGCTCATGTGGGACCTGCAGCCCGGATGGGACACCTGGCGTGGGTGGCTTCTTCTGACAGCTCCCGGCCCCTCACTGTGCCTCCCCAGGCCTTGGGCCCCTGCCCACTGCCAGGCCATGGTCATCTGGCCCATCTCCCACCCTCTTCTCTGCCTGAGTGCTTGGCCGAGGTGCCCGTGGTGCCAAAAGACCCATAATCACGACCAGGTCCTGACACCCACCCAGCCCCAACCGCTGCCCTAGAGCCTCCACTGTCCCATCTGTAAAATGGAGCTGGTGGGGGTCGCTCACACAGACGTGCAGGAATTGAGAGAGGACCTAGTGCCTGGCCTTAGAGAGAGCGCTCTCAGCTCAAGTATGTCCGCTGGGGGCTTGTCTAACTTGGAAAGGAAGAAAGAAAACTGTCACTATTGACAGAGGTGACAATTTATACTGAATTTACATCCTAGTGCTTGTCACCTCAGCTCTGACCTCAGGACCAGAGGTGACAAGCACTAGGATGCACTGGGTGTCTGGGCACAGGGCTGGGGCGGGGAGAGGGACAGTGCCCGTGCAGGAAGCTCAGGCTGGGAGCTCGCTCACCGAATCCCGAGGGGCGAGCGGTTCCTCCCGGGTGCCACTCCTCCACAGCACCTGCACCCACACCACTGCACCCAACCCCCGGGCCCCCACGTTCAATCAGCACTCGGGCCGTGGGGCTCGGTCCCCCAGACACTCCCCCTACTAGTCCTTCTGCCCAGTCCATGCCCCCAGGATAGCGGAATTCTCCCAGCTTCTCGGGTAAGCCTCCCCTCTCGCCTACACTGCCGCAGGGCGTCCCAGCCTCACCCAGGAGGACCCCCTGCCACCTTCCAGGCCCCAGGACCGAACATAAATCGGCTCGGCCACTCCAGCTGAAAGTGCTCCCTTTCACGGCCCCCGGGACCATCCCGCCTCAACTCCAGCACCCAGAGGCACCCGCAGTCCCAGGGTGCTCCTGGCTGTCCCACCCCCGCGTGCCCTTGTCCAAGGCTGCCAGGTGACCTGTGGACAAGGCAGGAAAGTCACCCTGACACAGGCCTGGGTTTAAACTCTTCTGTTTCCTAAATTAAATACGTGGCAGCCCGTGGAAAAGCCTAACTCCCGACTTCTCTCTGTCGCATGCCCTGGCCCCGGTGCGCACACTGTCGAGGCAGTGGCCGTGCAGCAGGGACTTGGCGTAGTTGTCCAGGGACGCGTCGGGGTCCTCCTTCCGGTAGCCCTGCTCGGTCTCATCCAGCGTCACGAAGAAGGCCGCCTTCTCCACGGCGGCGTCCAGCGCCTGCTTGTTCTTCCCACGCGCAAAGTAGGCCTGGCGGCAGCGGGCCCAGGGCACCCTGTCTCCCGCTGCGAGGGCCGCCAGCTTGGCCTCCCCGGCCTGAGGCTCCGACGGGTCGTCCAGGATCCACTGTATCTGCTGCTCGAGCTCGCGGGGCCGCAGCAGCCGGCCGTCATGGTACAGCCAGACCTTGAAGTCGCGGCCCTTGTGGAACACGACGATGTGCCGGCTGTCCCTGACGTGCTGGATGGTGTCTGCGGGGGTGCGGGCAAGGCAAAACCCCCACAGGTTAGAGGAGGGGGGACAGCGCCGAGGCCACACCCGCCTGCTCCACGCGGCCCCCCGTCCGCTGCTCCTGTCTGGGGGGTGGAGCCGGGTTAAGTACAGGGTCAGAGCCTAGGGCTCTGGAGTCAGACAGGCCTGACTCGAGGGTCCGCTCGGCCATCGTGAGACGCATCAGCTTGGGCCACTGACTGAACCCTCCCGGAGCCTGTAGGGCCCCTCACACAGGCGAGCAGGAATTGAGAGGACCTAGTGCCTGGCCTTAGAGAGAGCGCTCTCAGCTCAATATGTCCGCTGGGGGCTTGTCTAACTTGGAAAGGAAGAAAGAAAACTGTCCCTATTGACAGACGACTTGATACTGAATGTAGAAATCCCTGACGATTGCACCAAAAAACTGTTGGAACTAACACATTCAGTACGGCCCTGGCCGGGTGGCTTAATGGGTTAGAGCACCGTCCCACTACACCACGGTTGCAGGGTCAATCCTTGGTCAGGGCACATACACGAATCAACCCATGAGTGAATGCATAAATAAGTGGAAAAACAAAAAATGATGTTTCGCTCTCTTTTCCTCCCTTCTAAAAATATTATTTAAAAAATTCAGTATAAAATTCAGGATACGAAAATCAGCTGCATTTCTATCTATGTTATAAAAGGCCTGTGGCCGTAACGACCAAAGACCGGCGCAGGTGGGAGGGGCCGTGTGATTTTGTGCGCTGGGCTTCTAAAGGGTGTCCCAAAATTCACGCAAGATTGGCAATTCAATTCAATTTCAAATCTTGTGTGAATTTTGGGATACCCTATAGTATACTAATAATGAACTGCCAGAAAAAGAAATTCAGAAAAAAATCCCACCCTAGCCAGTCTGGCTCAGTGGATAGAGAGTCAGCCTGCAGACTGAAGGGTCCTGAGTTCAATTCTGGCCAAGGGCACATGCCCAGGTTGTGGGCTCCATCCCCAGTAGGGGATGTGCTGGAGGCAGCCAATCAGTGATTCTCTCTCACTGGTGCTTCTATCTCTCCCTCTCCCTCTCCCTCTCCCTCTGTTTCTCTCTGAAATCAATTAAAAAATATATTAAAAAAAAGAAAAAAATTCCATTTATAACTGCATCAAAAAGAACAAAATCCTGAGGAGTAAATTTCACCGGGAGGTAAAAGGTCTGGGACGCTGGCAAGAAGACCGCGGGGGCGCACTCACCCGTCTCCTCTCCCGGGATCCGAGACGTGTTGAACATCCGCTCCCACTGCGCGGAGCAGAGCGGGACCGTGGAGCCCATGAGCAGGATCTGCAACAGAAACCCGCGCCCAACGGGAAACTGAGCGGAGGGCGAAGGAGCAAATGAGCAGCACACGTGCGATGCTGGCTCTGTGCTCTGCTCGGCGGCCCGGTCTGGCTTGGTCTCTCCCTAACTCCGTAAGGATCAGCGTTCCCCGGGGCCCCCGGCTTCCCTGGGGACTTGCAGGGCACAGCTTCCCACGCCACCAGCCCTGAAATACACACTGACCCGTCCTGTGTGTACAAACCGACACTTCAACCAAAGGGCATTTACGAAAGGCATGTCTTACTCCTGAGCAGTTCACCAGCTAAATTATTTCCCTTCAGAAGCAAACAAGAGGGAGGGGCTGGGGGAAGGCAGGATTGAGCACAAAAAGGAAAAAAAGAGAGAGAGACTCACGGTCAAGAGTGTGGTGATTTCGGGCGCGGAAAGGGAGGGGTGGAGGTGGAAGAAGGCAGAGAGGGGATACATGGTGATAGAAGAAATAAAATAAAATTTAAATAAATAAAATATTTCCTTTGCATTAAAAAAAAGTGAACAAAAGTTTCTTCAAGGGGCAAATTCTAGAAGAACATCAGACACAGCCATCCCCCAGAGTGCACCTGTGTGCTCCCGCTCACATGAAGCTTTGGGAAACGCACAGCAGCGGAGAGCCGCGGTCGCCAACCTTTCGGACCTCACGGACCACCGGCTGGTGACCGCCGGCCCAGAGTGACGGAAGGCGGACCGGGAGTGACCTGGCAGGTGATGGGTGGGGAGGGGGCGCAGGAAGGAGCAGGGGGAGGGAGGCAGGTCACAGGGCGCCCAGGGAACTCTGGAGGGTTGGCTGTGGGGTGTGCAGGGTGTGCACGCGTGTGTCAGAACTTGCACACTGTGCAACAAGCTGAGCATTCCTCGGCAGAGCTGTGAGGGTGTTTTTAGAAAAAGCAGTCTGTTGGCTCACCGGTTTGAGCTCCTCCCGGTCCAGCTGGCGCCTGTACAGCAGGATCGCGTGGATGGTGTCGCCCGCCCTGGCGGCCTGGATGTGCGTGGGCAACACGTACAGAAAATCCTGAAACGGAACGCGTGTCAGCGGGGAGCGTGCTCGCAGGGGCAGACCGGGGGAGGCGGGCACACGGCGTAGCCGTCGACGCTGCAGTCACGCCCCACGTGAGGGAAATCACGCCTGCTCTGCTAGAAAATAAACTCATCTCCTTTCCTACGCTTTGCCAACTTTATTATTATTTATTTTTAATCCTCACCTGAGAAGGTTTTCATTGATTTAGAGAGAGACAGAGAGAGAGAGAGAGAGAGAGAGAGAGAAAGAGAGAGAGAGAGAGCGCAGAGAAACGTCGATGTGAGAGAGAAACGTCAATCGGTTGCCTCCCAAGCGTGCCCTGACCGGGTATTGAACCTGCAACCTTTTGATGTACAGGCAACACTCCAACCAACACTCCAGCCAGGGCTTCTTCATGTTTTATACCAGTCATGGCGAACCTTTTGAGCTCGGCGTGCCAGCATTTTGAAAAACCCTAACTTGACTCTGGTGCCGTGTCACATATAGAAATTTTTTGATATTTGCAACCATAGTAAAACAAAGATTTATATTTTTGATATTTATTTTATATATTTAAATGCCACTTAACAAAGAAAAATCAACCCAAAAAATGAGTTTGCGTGTCACCTCTGACACACGTGTCATAGGTTCGCCATCACTGTTTTATAAGAACACAAGCCCCCAAATAATCCTTGGGCTGGGAAAGGTAAGAGTGTATTTTAAAATTAGATTTTAAATGGCTGTCATTCGAATTGAAAGGAGGTAACAGTGCTTTGTCCCAAATGCCCGCCTCTAATGCATCGGGAGGAACAGCCAGCAGAGCCGGGAGTGACGGGTTAAAGGAACCTTCCCCAGCAGGCAGCCCCGCGCCCGCAGCCTCTAAGTCTCGAGACCCGTTCCTAAGGGCCGTTTGCCGTGACGGGAAGAGAGGGCCGGGGACACGGGTCCGACTACACGTGAGAGACCGTGACCCCGGCACTTCGGAAGGAAAGGCAGCCGGCGGGCCGCGTCCTCTCAGGGTCCCAGGAGCAGGCCGACAGCTTCCGTCAGTCTGAGAGTGTTCTGATGGGAGAAGAGTTAAAGGAAAAAGAAGAGAAGAATCTAAAAAGGAAAAAAGTAGAAGGAAAGAAC